TTATAACAGCAATATTGATAACATTTAAATTATTTGGAGACATCGATCGACAATCATCTCACAAATAAAAAATGTTATATCTGTTGACTGGCAATTATTACAATATTACTATAAGGCACACGAAAGAAAGAAGGTTATTAAGAGATATTATTATTCGCTCATATAGTTTCGATTACGAGTTCGGGTGCACAAGGAAAGAAACACGTCTAAAAAAACGTCATCCATTGATAGAATTAATAAATCTGTTCACGAAATAACTCTGTTCTCAGGATATACGTTCCCGCCGAAATGCCAACTCGGCCGAAAGTGGTGTGCTGCTGTAGCACTCTGCCGTAGAGGATGTGCGGTTATCATTGAGCGCAGACGCTATGGACGAGCGTCGCGGACGGTGCTGAGTGGCGCGGGGTACGCTCACCTTGGCTGCGGTGGAGACGGCCGCAGTGTGGCCCATGTGCGTGAGAATGGAGGCGCCAGGGAAGACCACGGGAAGGCGATGGCAGGAAACCAAGTCGCTGCAGTTTGCGGGTAGTTCATAACTCTCTTCCCTCCAACGTGCGAATCCCCTCCATTCAGCGATACATGCACTTCATAGAACGCTTCTTTAACAAACAAAAGGTTCCCGATATCAAACATTTTAAATTAGGTGTCTTATATCCCCGTACTTTTGGACGTAAAACGCATTATCCTCCCTGTTCGCGTTACTTATACACCAAGCAAATATCTGATAAACATTTAAATTATTTGGAGACATCGATCGACAATCCTTCACCAAAATAAAAATGTTACTATCTGTGACTGGCAATTATTACAATTATGTACTATAGGCAACAACGGGAAAGAAACGAAGGTTATTAAGAGATATTATTATTCGCTCATATAGTTCGATTACGACGTCGGTGCACAAGGAAAGAAACACGTCTAAAAAAACGTCAGCCATTGAATAGAATTAATAATCTGTTCCACGAAATAATCTGTTCCATTCAGGATATAACCGATCTCCCGCGAAATGACAAACCTCGGACCAAAGTGTGTGCTGCTGTAGCACCTCTGCCGTAGAGGATGTGCGTCTATCATTGAGCGCAGACGCTATAGGACGAGCGTCGCGGACGGTGCAGTGGCGCGGGGTACGCTCACCTTGGCTGCGGTGGAGACGGCGCACGTGTGGCCCATGTGGTAGAGAATGGAGCGCGCCAGGGCAGACACGGAGAGCGCGATGGCCCAGGACGTGTAGCCTTTCATCTTGATCACCTGCGACCCGCTGAAAGGTCACACACGCGGACTTTGTTCCAGTTGTATCCGTACGGGCACACGAGCGCGTGTGTCGAAAAACTACGCGGGTAAATATTAATATGCATAATTCAGTGGTTTCGGCAGCAGTCACAAGCTAACGGGTCAGTGGATTCGAGTACCGCCTTGGTCAAAAATGTTTACTTCAGTGAGGTGGGATGGTTCGACGTACCCGAACCACCATGTATCCCTTCACAGTGCTCTCTCTGCCATAAAATGTGTATGTGTATGTACGTACGTGTGTGTGTGTGTGTGTGTGTGTGTGTGTGTTTGTGTATGTGACTGACTGCATGAAAGTGAGTAAGCTCCATAATGCGCAGCCATCTGACCGCCATCAACCTCCTTAATTGTAACAATCTTCAAGAGTGGCCAAGGGCTAGCAGAAGAGGCAGTTTTCAACCTCAAACGTTACGAGACACAGAGTAGAGGCAATATCAAGGCACCCTAGGATGCAAATGGAGGCCAGGATAACAAATTGTAATGGAGGGTTAATACGTTGTGTTCTTTTAACCACCTGTGCAAATTTCCAAAAGTTGATTCTTCTTACGATTCTTCTCAAGATAAAAATTATACACTGAAGCGTTTAGACACAAATACACGAAATTTTACACAACTTTCAAATACATATGTCGTTTGACTTGTTTAAATTTACTGGAAGTGAATGCAAAACACCGCTTTTTCTCACTGCGTTAAAATAATTAAAATATATTACCAATTCTAACATTAAAACATTTTTCAATTCAGAAATTTGTCCAACACATTGACAATATTAATACGCATCGTACATTAAAAAATACTCTTTAATAAAATAAGGAAATTTCGAAATAAAGTAAAATCCATTGGAGTTAAACGTGTGAGCATAAAACATTCACATTTTGTTTTCAATTACTTGAAAATATTATACCTATTATTGAAATATTTCAAGTTCCCTTTACGAGTATACTGAGAGCAAT